GTACCATTTTGTTATATTTTCTGGATAACTTCTGCTAGTATGAGGCAATGTGAACTAGAGCTTTTTTCCTTCTTTCTTCTACAAGGCCAAGTTCCAAGGCTATGGCTTCTCCGTTCAAGTCTGGATCAAAATTTTCACTTCTAATTATGGGGAGGCCGACTTCCAGTGGGATTACTGCCTCCATGCCATAGGCTAAGGAAAAAGGCGTTTCTCTAGTTAACCGCCATAGTGTGGTACGGTAAGCCTATAAAACATGAGAAAACTCCTCAGGCCACTTGCCTTTTTCTTTCTCTAACCTTTTCTTCAATCTATCTAAGACGACTTTGTTTAATACTTCTGCCTAACCATTTGCTTGGGGGTATGCTGGTGTAGAGTTGTAAAATTCTATCTTGTATTCCTTACAAAAGCCTCTAAAAATTTTGCCATCGAACTGAGTGCTGTTGTTAGATATTAGAGCCTCAGGTATGCCGAATCGAGTGATGATGTTCTGCCAGACGAACTTCTTCACATCTTTCTCCTTTATTGATGCGAGTGCTTCTGCCTCCACCCATTTTGTGATGTAGTATGTTGCTGCAAGAAAGAACTTTCTGTTGCCGGGTGCCGTTGGAAGTGGTCCTACTATGTCCAAGCCCCACATTGCGAAGGGCCATGGGCTAGTTAAAGGTAGAAGCTCTCTGGCTGGTTGATGTATTTGGTGTGCAAACTTTTGACATTTTCGCACCTCTTGACATACTTTTCTGAATTTGCTTGCATGTATGGCCACCAATATCCTTGTGAAATTGCTCTGTAGGCCAATGATTTTCCCCCTTGGTGGCTTCCGCATACGTCTTCGTGTACCTCGAACAAGAATGTCTCGACCTTGCTAGGATGGACACATTTCAAGTAAAGTCCTATGAAGGATTTTTTGTACAAGGCCATTGATGGGGAGAGCCAAAATTGATATGACTTTGCTCTTATTTTGTTGGCCTCTTTCTTCTCTTCGAGTAAGATGCCGTCTTTTAAGAACACTATAATGGGATCCATCCATGAAGGGCTTAGTTCGGCACAACATACTTCAGCTACTTTCGGTTCTTCAATGCTTGGTCTTGGTAGGAAGTCGATCAGTAATGGATGTATCTGCCATCGAAGCGAAGCCTGCTAGTTCGTCTACTCTACTGTTTTCTTCTCGGCCGATCTGCTCTATCTGTTCTACTTCGAATTTCAAGATCTTCTTTCTGACTAACTCTTGGTACCTAACCATCCTTTCATCTTTTGCCTCGTAGTCACCTGAAATCTGGTTTACTACTAGTTGGGAGTCACTGTAAACCATTAGCTCGGTGGCCTTCATGAAGAGTGCTGATTTTAAGCCTGCTAGAAGTGCTTCGTACTTTGCCTCATTGTTTGATGCTGGGAAGCCAAGGTTGACTGCTTGTTTCACTACCAGGCCATCTGGTGAGATAAGGACTATGCCCAGTCCTGCACCGTGCCTATTGGATGCTCCATCCACGAAGAGCTTCCACATTTCTCCAACAAATAGTTTCCAGTAAGTGGCGGGGTCGAATGATGTCTTGGGGTCATGAGTGTTGCTGATGTCTTCTTCAAAGTCCACACCTACTGTTTGTCCCTCACTGTCTGATTGTACCAAGTTATGACTTGTTGATGAGTCTTTTCCAGGAATAGCGCGGTTTGTCTCTTCCTTCCTTTTTCCAATTCGGCATGCCTTGGGATGTGGCTGGGCATCTTGTTTTGGGGGTTGCGCGGTTCCTGCGGCACTCTCCATCCCTTTTTCTGTTGTACCAGTCAAGTCCACTGGGCAGATGTGATGGCTTCCTGGTGTGAACTCTGCCACAAAGTCTGTCAAAGCTTGGGCTTTTATTGTAGTTCTGGGTTGAAACTTGATATCGAATTGTCCTAATTCCATCGCCCACTTTAAGATTCGCCCAGAAAATTTCGCCCTCTCAAACAAAGCTTTTAATGGAAAAGCTGTTAGGACAATTATGGTGTGGGCGTGGAAGTAATGCAACAGCTTTCTCGAGGCCATCATCAAGGCTAAGGCCAGTTTTTCCAACGGTAGGTACCTGGTTTTTGCTCCCAGCATGGTTTTGCTAACATAAAATATGGGCAGATGTTGGATTCCTTCCGCTCTAACCAACACTGCGCTGACTGCGTGCTGTGAAACTGCCAGGTACAAAAAGAGCTCTTCTCCAGGTATTGGGGTTACTAACAACGGTGGAGAAGACATGTACTCTTTCAGGCTTTCTAGGGCGCGATCACATTCTTTATCCCACTCAAACTTGGCCTTTAATGCTTGGAGGAATGGTCGACATCTGTCTGACGACCGACTTATAAACCGGTTGAGTGCGGCAGCTAGGCCAGTGAGATACTCTACCTCTTTTACAGTGTTGGGCCTCTCTAGATCCTGGATTGCTTTGATCTGAGAAGGGTCTGCTTCTATACCTCGGTTGGTCACCAGAAAGCCTAGGAATTTGCCTGATCCTACGCCGAATGCGCATTTGGATGCATTTAGGCGCAACTTATTCTTCTTCAGAATTTGGAACATCTCATCCAGGTCCCTGAGATGGTCCTTCTCATCCGTGCTTTTGACTACCATGTCATCTATGTAAGCTTCCATTGTTCTGCCTAATAATGGTTCAGACATCTTGGTGACCATTCGTTGGAATGTCGCCCCTATGTTTTTTAGGCCAAAGGGCATGACCTTGTAACAATACAATCCTCTAGGCGTTATAAAGGATGTGACCTCCTGGTCTGGTTCATACATAGCGATCTGATGATAACCTCTGTACGCATCGAGGAAGCTAAGTCGATTGTGTCTTGCCGTCAGGGTATGGCCACTAATATCCT